TAATTGACAATAATAATATATACATACATTTATTTTATTCATACAATAATTCGAATTGTAATAATTTCGTGAAATAGCTTTTAGAATACTAGAATTTAAATTTTATAAGCTGAAAATAGCGATTACAAAAATAAAATTCTTTTAATAGATTTTTTCCAATTTTTTGGTCTATTTTTATGTATCCCTATTCTCTATTTTTAGAATTGAAGTCGGTAAAGTTCATTATGTTTCACGTCGGTAAGTTAGCAGCATTACATTATCGACGTTTAATAATAAGAAATCGATATACCAACGATTATTTATTCAATATAAAATGATAAAAAAAGAATGAAAATATGGCGAAAGAAAGACATTTTGTTTTTTTTTTTCAAAACGATACTAAGTTACATTTAAAAATATTATCACTAAAGTCTGTTACCTAATTAAATATTATTTATCTTGTAATTAAAATAATAATTTACATTAATTATTTGTTATTATAATTGATTTCAAGTTGTAATAACATTGAAAAGAAAAACTGAAATTCAGAAAAAAATAATAAAACGGAAGAAGAGAAAAAGATACAAAGAGGAAGAGAAAAGAGGTAAGTGATGCTATGATTGTTTTAAACACGTTTAAAACACGTGTCGGAAATGAAATCCGGTCATTTAAATACTTATATCTATTAACTATTATAATTCATGATATAATTTTGTAGTGGACACAACAGGAAACGCACGAGCCCTCAATCTCATTATTCACTTGGTAAAGTGGAAAATAACGTCCTTGTTACAAGAAAAGCCCACACCAATTGTCGTTTATAGAGATACTGACATTGCACGATGAAGGATATCTGTTTACTTCATTTTCATTTCCTATTCCCATATCCATCACAACGTACATAAGTATATTTATAATTTTTGTTTTTAATTTAAATACAAAGAACACCTATGTTGATAAAGTAGGAATCATAAAAAACTATCCATTGAAGGTTACTAAGTGAATATTATCTTAATCGGTAATGAGATGAGAACAACGTTCGTTGACACGACATACTAAAGATTAGAGACATGAATGCGTGTATTTTGTAAAGTAGCATGTATATTTTTATGAATGGTCATTGCATAACTCTTCTCTCACTCATTCAAATCGTTATTTTTTAACTTTTAAAGATATATGCCACAATTTTTCCTTAATCAAAATATCAATTAATTTCCAGAGTAAAATAATTAATTATTGTATTAATTTACTTATATACATTTAATTATTCTATTCTTTAAATAAGACGATTCGTAATTAATTAACTTCGCGTAAGAGTAATAAAAAAACCTTACAAATATTGAAACCAAGGATGAGAAATGACAATAGAAATTATGACAATGCGTACAATTTCAATTCATTTACTTAGAATTTGTATTTAAATCTAGACCTTGGATTTATGTGCAATAAAATAATTCCTACAGCCTTGGGACACGTATAGCTACATAAATTATGATGTATCATTAAAGAACATATCTTCTAACGAAATCTAATTCTCCTCCCCCCCCCATCCCTCTATTTCTTTCTCCCTTTCTCTCTGTTTTCGTATGCGCTTTGCTGCAGAGATAATCATAAAATTATATTAGTGAGATCGTAAAAGGCGAGGAAGAAATCGCGTTTGTTTATTTTAGCACAAGACTGACAGCTATCGAATGAAAGTGACAAGAATCTCCAATGATTAGGATTCCCCTCCGTTTTTTCTGATTTATTACATTGTAACTTTCTCTCTCTCTCTCTCTCTCTCTCTCTCTCTTGTAGTGGGATAATAATCTACGAGTTACATTATTCAAACACAGTGGTTCCCAAACTTTGTTGTCTTATCGCCTCCTTTATTGATAAAATTTGCCATTTTTTCCTTTTTAATTATCGTAATTAACTTTGAAAATTTGATTAAAAGTTTACGTTAAAAAATATAAGTAAGTAATATGTCTGATTGTGAGTGAAAATAAATGTACAAATTATTTACTTAAAAGTCCCTCTTTCTCCCCTATGGGAGATTATTATCTAATCGTTAATCGTTGATTTATATGAAACATTTATCGAGACTTTAGATAAAGTTACTAACATAAATCAAACGTACTATATCTATATATTTCGGTAGAAATGGATATACATATAGATTGCCTTGATCGATATCGTCTTTATTTTTCCTAAGCATATTTCATGCAACACGATCGTAAATTAAAGGCATTTGAGAATGATTTATTGGCGAATGCATTTGCAAAACGATCGATTATCTCCGTAGACAATTCATTCATTCGACACACCTATTACCTATTTCTACTTTAATCGTGATATGAGTATACAGGTACATTACTTGTTTCCATTTTTTTGGTGTTATAGAAAAAAAGAATGAAAAAAAAAGAAAAAGAAAAAAAGAAAAAAAATATCCGCGGAAAATAACTCAATTGCGAATGACATGTAACGAAGCCTTAGAAATACATTTTTATTTTTTTTGTCGATGTTTTATAATTGATGCAATTAACAGAATAAAAACAAAGGGACATAAAAAGAAAAAGAAAATAATGAATAAATTTTATCTGATAATAATAATCGTTGTCGTCTCACTCACAATTAGTACATATCGTATGCAATTGAATTAGTTGTGAACAAGGTTAAAGAGAGAATGAGGTAAAGAAAGATAGAAACAGAAATAGAGATAGAAAAAGAAATAAAAAAAATTGTACGTAGAATCGTATTGCAAGATAAACGAGAGTCTTTTTTAAAAGAGTCAATCCTATGTACAGCGTATCGTATAATTTTTAATGCGACAGTTGTTGCATAAACTTGTTTATTAGAAATAACTTGATTTTAAT